AGTTTCAAAAAATTGTTTTCATGTCGAAAAGTCGAAAAAACTCGACACAGCGCAAAAACTCAAAAATCGTTCAAACTCGTTTTTCGAGAATTTTTGCGCTGCGTAGTAGTATATAAGTTTCAAACTATTTTTTTTCTTATTCCGCATCAAAAACGACCCGCTTCTTTTAAAATTTTGTTTCGTTGCTGAGAAAATTCATTTATTCTAAATTTCTGGTTTTGAGGCACTTGCTTTTAGTTTGGAGCCGCGATTATAGACTCATTCGAAAGCGAATTGAAAGTTCTACAAAACTGTCTATATCGTTTCGCAAATATAGTTTTTCAGTCCTTGCAAAATTCACAAGATTAACGCATGCTTCATCTTCAAACTCCGACGGACAAAAATTGATGAAATGATGATAAATTTTCTTGACACGGTTTATTTGAAATTTCAAGCGTACTACTAGATTCTTCGCGAAATTCTGCATCGTTTTATGAAGGTTTCAAAGCTTTTAAAGACAAATGGGTAAGAAAATTTTTTGAATTAAAACATGTGGAAATACAGAAAAAATCACTTTTCTAACAACCATTTTGGAGTAGTGGCGGCGCCACAGATGGGCTGGGGTGGGCTCAGCTCACATAAAAAATATTTTGAGCCCACCCAGAAAAAATTTTTCTGGACTACATTACAAAATTCAGTGAGGCCGAGCTCACCCTATTCTAAATTCCTGGCCCCCGCCGCTATTTTGGAGTCATATTTTCAAGTTTATAAGAACGAACAGTTTTAGCTATTTAAATTAAGAGCCACATCACTTTGTTGAGCATTCAATTCTACGTTTAATCGTGTGAAAATAAACCTTTTAGACACAAGTCTTGTTTTAGAAAATCTATTTTTCCCATAAGCGCCTGAAAATACTATCCTCTGTCATTTTCAAGCCTATTTTTCCTGAACCAACGAAGCGAAAATTTTGAGAAGGGTTTACAAATATCAAGGGGAAACAGCTGATTTGGGGATTTTTCCGATTTTCACTGATTTTCATCGATTTTTTCCGGTTTCCTGTGATTTGTTTGGAAATGGTGAGTTAAACCGATTATTTAAGCTCAAAAATCAGCTGCTTAAGCCCCTTGACAAATAGAGAGCACAAAATTTTCTATCGATCTACGTTAAAAACGTTATTTTTACTACTACGTTAAAAACGTTATCGTTCACGAGGGAACCTCTCGACATGCCCAACTCCGGCTCCAATGATTTTATATGTCGATCGATAGAGCATAGCGAGCTGGGAAAAACACTAAGAGCATGTCTCCAAGCAAGTTATTGCATTTTTTCATTTTTTTCGCTCTTTCGTGGGGAAAAAGGCAAGAAGCTGGCATAAGTGATAGACGGTTGAATTTCCAGTTTAACATGTTTTGACAGTGATAGTGATCATTTTTATTACACCAACTTTTGATAGAGAAGGATGATCGAGTAAAGGTTTTCGCCGTTCGAATGGAAAGACTTGAGTGCCTGTTTTCGCGAAAACCAAACTTAAAAACTAGCCGATTTCGAATAACGTATGAACCTTTCTATTCCATATGAAATAGATGCCAGATGGATTATTCTATCCAACGTACATTTCCACTAAATGTTTTAATAAAGAAAACTATTACTACGAAACGTAGCATGACCCATAACTGATGTTATGGTCATCTGTGCAATTCTCACAAGTCATCTCGTCACTTTTACAGCCAATTTAAATCTCGATACTACGCGTAAGCAACTAGAAGCGACAATGTCGGCAGACTCTTGTTTATTAGCGGACGCCTGGCACTATCCGCCAGAGAACTGCACAGATTAAGAGAATCCAATTCGAATCTGAACCCGATTTGTAACCGATCCAACTAGAATCCGATCGAAAAAGGCTTTGGTCAAAAGTAAACACTTTCCTTTTTAGCTCTCTTGTTATTATATTTATTGAATTATATTACATCAGATGGTTGGTGTAATAAAAATGACCACTAGCACCCTTTTCTAAAACCGAACAGCAGTCACCACTTTCGAATATCACTTAATTTCAACGTGCTCTACTGAGCAGGTTTGAAACGTATCATGTCATGCTGATTCTTGATGCACTGATGCAAATACTGTAGTTTGGAAAAGAAATATTTTATTATCTTCATTAACAAGTAAAAATACAGTTATTTTTATAATTCAACATCGAATCGTATTTTGTTTTCTATCCTGTAGGAGAGCATATTCTACATCCAGTACATTTTGTACCATCTTCCAAATACCATTGCATTAGTTCCCAATGTTGACAATTAACTGGCATACAAACTAGTTCCGGACATTTGTTAAACTAAAAATAAATGCGTTAGTTCCGCCAACCGGAATGGTAATTCCAAGAGAATACTTACAAAAACAGAAGACGAGGGGATCCATTGATCTAGAAAAATCAAACAGGAAGTATAGTTCTTCGCATAGAACGGTAAAAAAATAGAAGTGTCCTACTCACTCGTCGGTGCTGCTGAAATTTGATTTGCTGCAATAGCGACACAAATACATACAATTATTAAAATCATTTTAACCATTGCCATTTTTCATCTAATATCTTAATAAAGTACGTCTGTTTTGATTCAGTATCAGGCGAGCAGAATTCTTTTTGTGCATGGGAATCAGTGCACATTTTCTTTTACGTTTTTATTTTGATAATAATAATTTATGTTTAACTTCACTCAACGCCCATATTGAATTTAGGTCATTTTCGCTTTTCTATTAAGTGTACTGTCACAATTGGTTGGATAGATGCGTGCATTTGTTCGTTCGAAGTTCGAGATAGTTTGCTCACTTAAAAAATAATGCGCTTTTTTCATGTGTGCATCTGATAAAGTATCCGAGGTTACGTATAAATTCAAGTATTCAGATCTTTGAACCTGAAAATGACTTAGCAGTGAATTTTTTACGAAAATCTCTAAGAAAAAATTCGCTACATTCCACATTTTCTGTATTTGACCTTAATCAACTTTCGTTCTTTTTCAACTTTTTTCGCTCTTTCGGTCCGTATATAATTCAACTTTAGAAAGTCTTAGAAAAGTGTGGAATGGAATCCAGGAAAGCACAATATCTGATTCCTATAGACAATATCTCAACTACATACTCTTGAAGAAGCAAAACACCATTTCACAAGAGATTCTCTTTCCATACTAAAATAGTTTAAACGAACTTGATTGCATACCTAAGATATCAGGTGTGCTATACTAACCTATGACTAAAACAAAAACAATGTAGATGAAAACTTCTTTTTCACAAATTTCAGAAGGGTAGAGTAGGATACGAAGTTCGTAGAGTAGCATAGGTTAAGGATATGAAAATTATTGTTAGTTGGGATATCGGGCACACAAAATTCATACCCTGCACATCTGTACGTGAGTTAGGATCTGAAGTATTTCAGCTATAAATTAGACTAATCGGACATTCCTTAAGAATTATATTTAGAGTGAGATTAAAATAATAGTACGAATGCTAGAATCTAGACACGTCATCAATTAGACCGTAATTCTATTGTTACGGCTTAGACATTTCAAATTCAGCATTGAAAACTGATTTAGATTGCAAAGGTTTGACATTTTAGGCTTTTTTGGCACAAAGAAAAATTGTTGGATCTTGGGAACATAGGTGATGAGACTTTCGAATCTATGCGGCTGCCGATCGAACCATTTTCTAACTGTGATTTTCCAGCAAATCACAGCTAAGTGTGTTTAGAACCTGTGACGAAATTTCAGACTCGTACTGTTTGTCGTTGGGAGAGAATGAGCTTTTCTGAAAACTTCACATTCTACACACTAAGCTAGAAAACGGCTGGATTGGATGTCGCATAGATTCTAAAGTCTCATCACTTATATTTGAATGCTGTAACAATTTTTCTTTCTGCGAAAAAGTTGCGAATTATGTTGTATAACAGCTATATCGACTCAACAAATGGAATAATGACCGGTCGACTGAAATCTGTTGTGGAACGACGTCTACGTTTCTAAAAAGGTCCTTTGACCAAAGGCTACTTATCAGCTAACTTTGTCCATTTTTTACCAAAAACAAGAAAAAAGTGAGCAAGAGGAGGAGAAAAATCTGAAATAAAAAAAGCACGCAGTATGTGGTTAACCTTTTCTCTTTAAGAAATTTATACTGAAAGCAACAATAATATCCTTATTACGTAGGAAACAACTTAATTTTAAAAATTATATTTGAAAACAACATAATGTGTAATGAATTACCCGTCAAGGTGCAAATACAACTGGATGCATTGATAGAAGGTTTTTATTTGAAAAATAATCGACTTTCAACAGATAAAAGTAACAGACTTCTGAGTCCTGATGAAACAGCATTAGACCCGCTCACATCTAAACAAATAGGCTTGGACTTTCAAAAAATTGAATCGGATGATTTAACGGGTACGTTTCGAGCAGCAGGTCAATCTGCAGCGATAGGTATTTCGGAAAAATAGTGTAGGCGTCTTCTAAAATCTTTATAGAGTAAGATAGAACTTCTAAGTATACTGTGGTTGAGATTTGCAAAGTCTAATTCTTGTAAAACAAGTCAATTCCTTTCTATAATTCAAAATCATAACAGTTGTCGGTGAAATAATTGGGTCTATAGACTAATGTTAAAAAGAAAAATATTAAACGACTAATATTAAAAATCAATTTAATATTAACATCATCGCCAGGTTTAATCTTTATTTTTTTTTAAAAATATAGTTAAGTATGTTTCTATTTTACAAACAAGAAAAAGATTTATTAGTCCAAATAGAAAAGTATTTAAATAAGGCACAAAAATATTAAATTGATTTTTAATATTAGTCGTTTAATATTTTTCTTTTTAACATTTTTCGGTATATCGGAAATAATTGCATTCTGTTCTTTCACTAGGTTCATGAAGTGCGTATTTGTCATGGAATATCAAATAGTGAGTTTCGAAGTATATCATTGCAAGATGATGTGCGCGGTTGGAATGAATTATTTATAGCAGAAAGGTAATCTAACTAGCTAGTGGGGTGATAGCACTTTTGTCACATTAATTGCCGTCCCACGTGACGAAAGTGTACGGCATTTTTGCGGGGTACCACCCCACACTTTGGGTCACAAGAGTTTAGTCACAAAAGTGTAGCTCAAGTTTGACTTGACCTAACTCGTCTAGCTGTAACCCTCACTGGAGTTATATCGTACTCAGATTGTTTTTGAGGAACCAAGGTAGGCATATTTTTTGTTGCAAATTTCGAGTTTCTGAAAGAGAAGGAAGAATCAGCCCATTATATATCTATCTACACGAAAATGTGTATCAAGATGATTCCGGTGTGTTGAATACAGGCTATGTTTTGATTGAAAGTCAATGGTGTCCTCTCGATTCATCCCTAATTAGCTTTGCAAGATCAAACAACATTAAAGGTGATTTCAAAAGTGAGAGTGAGCCATTAGGGACGAATCGAGAGTAAACCAAGTTAATTTTATGTTGTTTTATTTCTCTCATTCAAAGTAGAGTGAGTAAAAACTGTTGTAATTAGTCAATGCATAGTAATTTGTATTGTTTTTGTGTAATCCATTTCGCTAATCTTAATGGGAAAAAGCTGAAAAGATCCCGTAAAAATTGCAGAATGGATCCCGTATACTAAAATTTCGATAAAAATAGTAGAAATGATGCCGGAAAACTGTTTTCTTTCTGCGAACAAGAGAATTGATCCTGGTTGACGTGTGGTGCGAATGTAAAGACGGCGTTGAGACATAAACAATAGCAATGTGTAGCGGTCACATCTTTTTTCATACTTTTTTTACTCACATCACTTTTGACTATTACTATCACTATTAAACAAACTATGACTCGAAAGACATGGCTATTAGTTTTTACGTGTGTAAACGAAACTGATTTATTAAGTTTTATCAAAACTCAAGGTGTCTGCAAAAATCGAACTGAACAATTCATTGGTGGTTTATCAATTACATCTAAATGTTCACAGTACTGAAAATATCCGCTATGCGAGTATGAATTGAATATAGTATATAGAAATCAGCGAACAGCTTTGGGAAAGAGGATCTTATGTGACCACTACACACGTCAACCGGGATCAATTCTCTTGTTCGCAGAAAGAAAAAAGTTTTCCGGGATCAATTCTGCACAATAAATATAAAAATTAGTTTATTCCGGGATCAATTCTGTCGAAAATATTTTTTTTCTAAATCCGGGATCATTTCTACTATTTTTATCGAAATTTTAGTATACGGGCTCCGTTCTGCATTTTTTACGGGATCAAAACAATTACCGTCCAATCTTAATTCTAACAAATATTTATTCGTTCGTTGATTAAAATCTGGTAGTGGATCATCGACGCCAAGACATCGATAAGCTTTTGTTTTTGCCATATATTTTTCGGACTTCTTTTGACAATCTTCTAATTTGCCCAAATGGAACACCTTGGATTTATCCGTCTTTTGTAATATAATATTGTTCAATCGGAATTTATGTTTCAATCGTTTCACTAATCGACCATAATTTTTCTTCTTTGTATATATTTTGGAGGATTGACCTGGAATAATTAATTGACTGGAAATTTCGAGGATAAATTGTTGATCATTGGAATTATTTAAGGAACGACGAGGAGACATAGGAACATCGTGTAATTTTTGTAATAATAGGTCTAAGTCAGCAATAGATTGATTATCGGGACGACCGGGGCATACTTTCTTTTCATAAAATTTTTGTTCAAGTTTTCGTTTCAAAGTGGCCAACTCAATTGTTCGTCGTCGAGCTGCTGTTCTCGGATCATTGAAGATAAATCGTGGACCTAATTTCAGTAACCCCCCCCCCAT